GTATACCGGCTGCTAGTCTCACTTACCTAGACAAACTGCATAACTTCGCTGCTGGTGACTATGTGGGATTATATAACCACTTTTCTACGTTCGACTGGTCCCCTATCCTGCAATCATCTGACGTCAATTATCAGGTTCTTCAATTCACCACGGCGGTGCAGGAGGGAATGGATCATTACATTCCTCTAAAGAAGCATACCAATTCAAAATTTCCCTCGTGGTTTTCTCCGTATTTAAAAAAGTTGCTGAAGAAAAAAAGCTTCTCTCATCGCAAATTTAAAAAGACTGGCAGTCTCAGGTGGGAGGCTGAGTTCGTTCATTATAGACGCCTATGTAAGCAACATCAGAGGATTGATCATAAGATATATGTGGAGTCAGTGGAGTCCGAATTGAGGAGAAACCCAAGAAAACTCAACCGACATGTTCGTTCTCGAGGAGGAAAATTGATACATCCTGATATTATACTTAATGAGGAGAATGTGACCACGTCCAGCGTATGCGATATATTCGCGCGTCATTTCAGTTCTGTATATAAACACAATAGGAGTGGGTACCAACAGCCGCCATCCCCTAACGTGAACGAATCCATTTCCTCCCTGCCTGTAGATGAGGGAATGATTCAGGAATGCATAAAAAAACTGAGGCCTACCATGTCCACAGGCCACGATGGTATTCCAGCAACACTTGTAAAAGCATTTCACGAAATTTTTACGCCCATCCTCTATAATATTTTCAACAACTCCTTAAGAGCAGGAGTGTTCCCTGATATGTGGAGGAAGTCAGTCGTAGTCCCAGTCTACAAGTCTGGAAGTCGTACCACTGCATCAAACTACAGGCCAGTGTCTCTGCTGTGTACATTTTCGAAGCTTTTCGAAATGGTGGTCCCCAAAACATTGTCCTTTCGTTCAAAAAATGTATTAAGTTCCAACCAACACGGATTTGTAGCAGGACGCTCGACAACAACAAATTTGATTTCATTTATGTCCATTGCATCCAAAGTTGTGTGCCAAAGAGGCCAGCTCGACGTGGTCTACTTTGATCTGAGTGAGGCGTTTGATGTGGTTGACCATGACATTCTTTTATCAAAACTTTGTGGTATTGGTGTCTGTGGAAAGCTACACAACTGGTTTCAGAATTATTTGTCTAATAGAACATGTGTTGCTCGTGCGAACGGCGCGTATTCTTTTACGTACACGGCCACGTCTGGGGTACCTCAGGGATCAGTTCTGGGCCCGCTTCTTTTTTCTATTTTTGTGAACGATGAGTGTAAGCAGATTGTAAACTCGTCTTTTTTGCAATATGCTGATGATATTAAGATATTTAAGGAGATTAGAACTATCTCAGATTGCAAGTTTCTACAAGAGGACATAAACTCATTTAGCAAATGGTGTTCACTGAACGGTCTCCTACTAAACAGCTCAAAAACCAAGGTCATGTCCTATAGTCGCAAAACGCAAACGACGTGTTTCCCTTACAGTGTTCGCTCAGACGTATTGTGCCGTTCTAGTGAAGTACGGGACTTGGGAGTGCTTTTTGACTCCTCCTTGAGATTTGATAGCCATGTGGCTCGTATAAGTACCTGCGCCTTGCGCGCGCTCGGTATCGTTTGTCGAACGACAAGAGTATTTTAAAACCCCACAACGTTTGTAACCCTGTACCGCTCTTTGACAAGGTCTCAACTCGAATATGCATCTCCTGTATGGAATGGCAGTTGTAAAACTACCCTCCTAAGGCTGGAGCGAGTGCAAAACAATTTTTTATCTATTTATCAATATTGATATCTGCGAGATGAAACATCTCTATCAAAGGGTAACAATGTATTGGACGTCCTACAAATGAACAGCTTATATCACCGTCGAGAAAAGGCAGATCTGGTTTTCCTTTTCAAAGTCCTTCATGGTATGGCCGACTGTTCGGAACTGCTCTCACAGATATCTTTGCGAGTTCCTCGGACAGCGACCCGTTTGACAACGTCTTTTTACTCTCCTCGAACGTTAAATATCTTGGATCCGATGTTTCGTATGTGTCGGGCATATAATGGCATTGGAAGTGATCTTGATATTTTTTGTGTGACTGAATTTGTCAGATCTCTCAGATTCTTGTATGGGTCTCTCTAAACCTGTCGGTGATTGTGATGTTATTATATATTATTTTAAGAAGGTATATTCGTTGTTGTGGTAGTCTTCTTACTCTGCGTTCGGACCCTGTGTTCCGTTCTTTCCTTGTTGTGTATATCGTATCTTTGTGTCAGCATGCGTTATATGTATCATATCTTTTACTCAATGTTTTGAGTTTTTTATGTTTTTTTCCTACTTTTTTGTAGTGTGTAAGTTTCGGTGTGCCAGCACCAAGACCGCATGGTCGTTCCTGGACACCTAATAAAAATTATTCTTGATTCTTGATTTTTGATTGCTATCTCGGGTGATCTCAGCTGGAATACGCACGTTGAAAATGTATGCAATTCAGCATATAGGAAACTTTGTTTTATGAGGCGATCTCTAAGAGGGACGAACTCCGATATCCGGACCAACGTTTATAAAACTCTAGTGCGCCCACCATTGGAATACGCATCGATAATAGGGGACCCTCACGCACAAACTCAAATAGATAAAGTGGAGCGCATTCCAAGGCTAGCAGCAAGGTTTATCTTTTATAAATACGATAGACACGAATCTGTTCCGGCATTGTTGAGGGAAGCCCAATTATCCTCCTTAGCGTCAAGACGAAGAATTGCGCAGCTGAAGTTTTTTCATCTGTTGTATTTTAAGTATCTCCATACTGACACGCAAACTCATATCAGATCTCCAGGAAGACGGTCTCGACGACTAAACAATAAATTGTCAGTTGACCTATTAATGCCCAATATTGATATTTTTAAATATTCGCTGCTTGTCAAAACAACTGAAGAATGGAACAGATTACCCCCAAGTGTTTTTTCGGACGTCACTTCTGTTGAAGAAAAGTTGATGAACTGGTTTGCTGACGAGTAGTTGCTCCTGTGAGAATGATTGTTCTATGTATAATTTCTTGTGTCACCTGCATCTTGTTTGATGTATTACTGTATCCACTCCTGCTATAATCCGCAAGGGTTGGAAGTATTTGAAATAAATAAATAAATAAATAAATAAACACAATAAGAAATTAATGAAAGAAAGGTAAAAAATTAAAGACGTTTACAATTTTTAGTAATGCGAAATTAGACCACAGATTTTGAGGAGAGGAGGACAGGGATACTTCTCCCCGCCTCCGTACCCTCCCCTCCTCCTTGCCTCCCTTTTAGCGGTAAATGTTCGCTAAATTTCTCGCTAAATTTAGCAGGACAGTTTCTCCGCTAAACTTAGCGGAACAATTTTCCTGCTAAATTTAGCGGGGCGTCCCCATAAAGCAACGCGCCGACGACGACGTCGCTCAACCACTGTAGCTCAACCAGCTCAACCCGGAAACGAGCGCACAAGAGCTGCGCTCTAAAAAAGTTCCGACCACAAAGAAGTCAATACTTGGACACTGTTCATTACGTGACCATGTGAAATGTCAAGCTTAGTGCGTGCCACAGTGTGCACTCGACTTTTCGATGAAAGTCGTGGCTGAGCATTCGCCAACTACCTGCGCCGTAAATTGCGTGACATGCATTCCAAGTGCAACTAGGGAAACTAGACGCGTTTGGTGTTTTAAAATGTGTCTAAATGCAGCGCTCATTTTACGTAGTTTTGAGTAGTCGCCTCACCATTTACATCACTTCTTTTCCCGTTGAATTACAACCCGAAGTTGCGAATTTGAGTGGGAAAGGTTTCACAACAATACAAAGGCAGTCACCGAAGTAAAGCTCGACATTACAAGATTTAGGTTGTCCTCATTTTCAGAACGCGCATAAAAGAATATGAACCATAATCCTTTTGAAATATTTCTTTTTCACTCAAACTGTTAGGTCTGATAAATATTTTAGAACAAAACAGACCCTTTACCTATAATACCCGTACCACAACTGACCGGCGAGTCACTGCACTCTATTGACTACAAGCATCGCACTGTGTCCCTCAAATGTCATTCGTTCAACTGTTATTTGGTGGAAATGAAAGTAACTTTTCTGTGCGATAAGGCCATGATCTTGCCGGCCCAGAGATCTAAGAACGGCGCTTCTTAAAGTGCCCTCTTCACATCATGTAAGTAGTAAATTATTTCTTCGTCCATGACCTTCGCAATAATAACGCCACTGTTGAATTTCCGTCTTGAATGAGTTAACGAGTTAAACATGTCAGAGCTGCTTTAACCCTTCAAGAGCCGAGCTATGGAACTTAAATCCATAACAAGGCTTGAGTCAGCGTTGCTGGCAGCGCGTCTAGCGGCGTCTCACAAATGAGCGCAACGCTAGCACAGGGGGATGCCAAGACGGATCCGTCTGCCCTCTGCTGCGACTCTCGTCATCAAGCTACAGGGTGTTTGCCACTTGGTGTAGCTCAGGGATTCATTAACGATTAAGTCAGTCGTCGGACTTGTCTTCTGGACGGTATCGATCAAAGCTCGAGTGTAGGGTTGATTAAGAAAGAGAGATGGCGAGGGAGGGTGCAAACCTCTTACCTGCCCCCGATGGAGAATTGTCGTGACATAAGGATTAATCTGCTTGTATTTGATTACACGGTCTCGCGACATAAACGAGTCAAGCTTGCGAAAAGTAAAAGTGCTGAATCTTGCCTCATCAATGTCGCCATCTTTTTAATAAACTTGTCTTTAAAAGTTTTTTTTTTTTTTTCATAGTGGGAAAAATTGAGGCGTCAAGGTTGTTTTCGTCGAGACGTCCTCTCGTTCCCTCGGTGCCAAAGTGTTTTCGCCCGCCGGTTTCCCACGTTGCTATACACTGATCAGGATGATGTCTAGGTCAAGGGAAGCCGTGGCCGGTTGCCGTCAATGACTATCCCGTGATCGTCTTTTACTTTATTTTTTTTATAATGTCAGAAAAGCGGGGGCGGTGGATATATAGAGCAACCCACTCGCACAGCATCTCATACACGCAAAGAAGCGGATATCGCGCGACAGAATGGCTCGCATCTACTTGGCAGAGCTTCTGCTGCATCTTTTGCTACTCACGGGTGAGCGTAACCTTCTCTTCGGTGTCTTGTAACCTCCTGAGACTTTCAGTAACTCATCGTTCCCAGCAGCATTACGTTTCGTGTCGATGGAGTGCATCGCGGCACATTGCGCACAATAAGAGTAATCCTGCGTGTTCAGTGTTTTAGCTAATCGGGTCGAACGAACGAGTATGCAAAGCACATACGTCAGGGATGTGCGTTGTTAATAGCATCAGAATCAAAGCGTTACCATATCTATATATATATATATATATATATATATATATATATATATATATATATATATATATATATATATATATATATATACTTTTTTATTTTAAAACAGATTTTCCCATCGTCCAACGCTCACCCCCCTGCGCACAATAGCGTTTAAGTGCGTTTGACTGCGTTGCGTCGAGAAACGAAAGGAAGTCACCGGCACATCTGTGCTTTGTATGAAGCGTGGAATCCAATTCAAGGAATAGCTTGGCATGCGAATAAGAGAAGCAGGAATGTCCTGGTTTCTCGCATCCGCAACGCAAGTAAACACACTCAAACGCTCTTAAACGCAACTGTGCGCAGGGGCCTTCAGTCTCGACTTGAGTCTATAACGCTAGTGTTTGGGACAGACGGCCAACATTTCAGAACTTACTGTCACCTGATTCAAAGGTTATCACTGATTTACGGAAATATTCATTTCAAAAATGGCGGCCAATAAGAATACGAATCTTGGGAGATAAAAGGCGTCTGCTACAGGGAATGTACCAAATTTTCTCCGTTGAGACACCCGAAAATCGCTTGTAGCATTTGAATCAAACCACGGTGAGTTTTGAAATGTTTGATCACTAGTTCGAACAGTTCGCGTTACATTTGAATGCTCACTAAGCGTTCGTCAATGCTTAAGTCATTTTTACGGTAAAAAAATTTATGTTTTTTCTACTAAAAACCTTTCATTTTCCGCTGTCTATTTTATTAGAACACTCTCCATTTGATGACGAAGCAGTTAGGCCTTTCAAGGGAAGATCATATCTCTGATATTTTCCTGAATTATGCCAGCGTGTGTAAAGTGGTATACCATTCGGAGCACAGCAAAATGTTCTATTCCAATTCCTGCTCATTCCCATCTGCTGTACCATTGTAGCGGCCATCTGTCGTGTGCCACTATTGCGTGATGTCCGTCAAATACCAGAGGCTACGAGTGGTACTGCAGTGGCTAACTTTCTCATCCACAGCTGAGATATCAGACACCAAACGGAGCTGACTAACGTAGCGCTGTCTAAGCATGCACCCAACACAATTACTTTAAATAGAATGGCTCTAGTGCTAAGAGCACCCCAATGCGTTTTACCGAGTCGCTGCGGGTTCATCCTTGACATTGTTTATAACTGTGACTGAGTTCTTCAGTCCCAACGGAAGGGTTCAAGGGGTTCTCCGGAATTTTCTTTACTGTCCCCGATTTGCCTGAAAATTTGTTTGACACATCAACAAACATCGCTGAAATAGTAGACCAAATATTGAGCCCAAATATTTGTTTTTGCGAATTTATTGAATTTACAATTTCGGTCCTCACCGTGTTTAACAAAGTAAAAGTCTCTACTGGCAACAATAAAAAAGTGACGTCACCGGATTGCAGGGGTACACTTCTTGGACTGTAGACTTTGTGCCCAACTGAAGGGTGTAAAATGGTGACAAACTGCTTTATGGCATCAAATCATTGCTTCGGAAGCTCGCTCCATCATTTCGAAAACAGGTCTCAACATTCTTTTTTTTTTCTTTTTTTTAGACTTTCTATTGACTTTCAGGGATCCTACTGAATTCCTTTTAAACGCACTTTGTTTTGATTATTGTCAAAAAGCTTTCAAAAGAAAAGATACTGAATTTTTTTTGTAGACGTATTTATAAAAATTAAAAGGAAGATAATTGTAATGACGTTTTTCTGTAGGTTATTTTCTAAAAAAAATTCAAAAGGAAAAACAAGATTTTGTTTTGTAGACTTATTTATAAAAAAATAAAAAAGTTTTAACGACGTTGTTTTTTGTAGGTTATTTTCTAAAAGGAAACCGTATTGACATTACTTTTTTTATATTATTTTATAAAAATAGAAAAATTATTTTATTATTTTATAAGGTCTGCGGACATGTGCGGGGTCCGGCATGACGGCGATGAATGTATGGTTCTACAAACCCCTCTAAAAATTTTCTTTTGACTTTTTATTGAAAATCTGTTGACTTCTTCACTCTGATTACTTTCTTTTGACTTTGACTTCCTGTTGACATGGTCAACAGAAAGTTTGTTTATTTTGTGGTGAAACTTTTTTTGGTGATTTTCTTCTGCCCGAGTCGAAAGAAAAGCTGTTGACTTTTTATTAACTCTACGTTGATATTTTTCTGCTGACTTCCTGTTGAAAGTGTCATCAGAAATACTGCAGACGTTCTGTTTACTTTGTGTTGAAAATAGTCTCTGACAAGTTTAGAACCGCAGGGAGGATCTTCAGTTCTCCTGCCTCTAGCGCGAGCCTTCAATCCTTGACAACGCTTCGACGTCTAGCGCCCCTTGAGCTCAAACGCGCAGTCAATGCACGACGGAAGGCATGGGGCGCGGGCTGGAGGCCAGGCGTTCGAAAAACACGCCCTGCCGTTTTCATTTTGTAAGTGACTAGCGTGACTTTATTGATCCTATTCAACTAGTCAACTAGTAAAGTAAAGCAAAATAACTGTTTTAAAGTGGAGCAACCGGCTTGACTGGCTTAGTCCTGAGTGATGCTGTGCAGAGAAGTCCTCGAACTTTGAAACACTGTCTTCCCTTTGATAGACTTTCGAGAAGGAGGTCGGACACTTGGGACCTTAGTAAGTGCTGAGGTGATCACCGGCCAGATGATTACCTTCAATATGTAGACTATATAGGGCTCTGTAGCAGTTAACGGGACTGTGATTCTGGTGTTGAGTGCTTCATGATGTTTGTGTTTGTTTCCAATGCTTATATGTGGGATGTGTACGTACCGAAGGGACACCATTTTCATACCAAACTCAAACCATATATTAAAAGAAAATTGAGTGTTTTTTTAACGTTAAACTGCGGTTCCGTCAAAAGAAAGTAAAGAAAATATATTTAAGCAGGAACTCTAAAAAATGTATGCAAGAAGTAATTCTAAAAATGTACTTAAGAAGGAATTATAAAAAATAATTTAAGCGACCAATTTTACCTAGGAGTTAGATAAGTTGCAAAATAAAGTCTAAAAAACATCAAAAAGTAAAAAAAAATTCAATTCGATTCCAGGAAATTTTCAACAGAAATTCAAAAGAATTTAACTACGGATTTTTGTAAGGGCAGCACCCGCGCAGCATCACGGAACAAATTATCGGCATAGTTCATTTTTAGTGTGTCCGCTCGACCTGCAAGCTTGCCTTCCCTTGACGTCACTTCACTGAAAAGCGCGGATACATTTGAAATGTGAATGTTGGTCTTGACATCAATCTCACTTGCTGATTTCACCATAACTATTTTGAATTTGGCGATACTAAATAGCATACCGGAAAGGGTAAGGGCCGGAGATTCCGAAAATATAGTTAGTTAAGGTAGCTAAACAAAATCGCCGGAGTATTATCGTCTGACCCCATACGCTTGCTGCTCTGAAGCTTTGAACAAACTATCGCGCCCTCCTTTTGGGTAGCACAAGCTCAACTGATGGATCCCCGCACTACAAGTGCCCCTTTCGCTGACCGTTTTTCATTCTATGTTGTGCTAAAGAACGAAAAATCACTTTTCGATCTCTAAAATCGGTTATACTCAGCGCAGCAAGACAATGGGAAGTGTCAGATTCATGCCACCACCGCTATAGAGGGTACGTGTCTCTTATATTAGAACCAAACTATCTTGCTTCCCGACGGTTTTGTTTTGCTTTTTTTACCTTGGAACGCGTAAAACGACATCGTTCGGCTCACGTTCTTAGAGTCTTAGCCTTGAAATATGCTTCGACGGCGTTGGCATTTGTTAATGCTTTCTATTTTCCTCGCAATCTCGCGTTCCGCACCATAGCAGGCACGCTTCAACATGTTTTACAGTTTTGGGACGCTCAAGTTCACACTACCCAAAAGTAGTTCTAACAAGTTCCTTTTCACAGCGCCCCTTGGGAAACGCAGGAGACTTATACTGCGGCACTTCGACAACACCGCCCCTACATCGATTAACACCGACGCTAGCGGATTTAGTTAAGGTGCGGTACAGGTCCAACAAAAGCCCGAACATGAGAGCAATATTTTCGCCTACGCCAGCAGGACCATTTCGAAGGCCGAAACGAACTGCCTCGCCATCGAAAAAGAGGTTTCCTCAAGCGTATGAGCTATTTCTGTGGCGGAGTGGGCTAATGCGTCTCAACTTGGAGCGTAGAAAAATATTAATAATTGGGGTTGTGGGGATATTTAGACAGCGTGTAGTTGGTCAGCCATTTCAAAGATGCGACGAGCCACTCGCTGTTGATGAGAAATTTAGCCTGTGCAGCACAACTGCTAGCCTGGAGACTTTAACGTGCACTACGCACTGCAGTGGAGGGTGGTACACGACCGCACGCCGGTACAAAGCTCATCCAGATCGAGACGGGCAGGGGTGGCGATTGCACCTAGGATCTCTGGGTTCTGCAGCGGGAGCTTTCACTCCACGTGCTCCGAGCTGGTGGGAGCTACCCCACTCGGTCACTGATCCACCTTCGCCCTGCGGAAAAAAGCTCAGAGGCTGCATTCACCATGCTTTGTTATATGCAGCCGCTCGAATTTTGGACCCTTTTTTATGAGTAAGGTTTTACGTTATTTTTGGATAACCTGGGACGATAATTGCGGGGAGCATTAAGTTTATAGGCAGTTAAAACGTTCATAGCTGTAGTTGATACCTTTTCGGCGATCGTTTGCCGTAACTGCCTATACTCCATTGACCCTTACGCTGAGACTGCAGCCAGTGCCACAAACACGACAGATCGCAATTGCTGCTTTGAAGCGTTTTTCCCCAGAATAAGCACTCGCGCTGGA